TCACTGGGGCTGTCCTTATATAGCAAAATTATTTGTTAATAGGCAATGATTTGCCGTTACTTGATCTCTTCTGTCCAGCTCTCATCACTCATCTGTGGATGTTTAATGTTTGTGTCTTTACTGTACCGCCAGAGTTCCAAAAATAACTGTCTTTTTTGGCCTGGTCAATTTGGGACCACTCTGTAGTTATGGCTTGTGCAGAGTTTTCTCTGAAGCAAACCTCATTTCAGTCTGACTCCTTTGCTGTTCACCTCTACCTGCCTGACCCTCTTGTGCTCACCTCAGGCACCCTCCTGCACTGGACTGTGTTGGGAAGCTAGGAGTTGCGGGAGAGCAAGGAATACCATTGCCCCCTGCGTATTCCTGGGGATAGGAAGTTGCCACCGCGGCATGCCAAGCGTCCAGCTTGCCCAGCGTGTGAGTTTGGAGCCCTGCCGAGGCCTCAGGCAAGGTGCCCGCAGCTTAGCTAGCGAGTCTAACAGTTGAAAGGCCTGGTTTATTCCACACAGGGGCTTGTGTACCATTGCTATTGAGCTGCACCATCTTCTCTCGATTCCTGGTACACAGAGCAGCCCAAATCCCCAAGGAGGGGCCTCTGTCACACTCTGTCATCTAGCTTTACCAGGGTGTCCCACCGTGGGGTTCGTCTGCTTTGCGTGCCATGCTCACCTCTCCCTTTGCAAGAGCTGTCCTGTCTCCTCTGAGGAATCTCTTGTTTCTCCCGCTCTCGTGGGTCGCGTAGCTGGTGTGGGAGCCACAGCGAGTGGAAGGGGCCGCCAGGGAGGGAAAGGCAGGCAGAGAGGTTTCCTGGAGCTTCCTTGGCAGATCTGTCTGCTCAGGCTTCCTTTGCTGCCGCTGCACCTTTCTGACACTTGTGTTTTGGAGCTTGTGGATTTTCATACCCTGTTAGTTTTTATTAATATTACTAGTTAGATCCCAGCCCTGAAGAGCTTTCAGTTGCTGACAGATTTATGCCGAGCAGAGTTACTAATCGCAGTTTCAGATGTTTCTGTCCATGTGTGGTTTCGTCGTCGCGTGCCTCAGCCTTCCCTTCCCCATGCGTGCACATACCCACACACATGCTGTCTCTGCTGCCGAGTCCTCAAGATATCCCCAGATATCCCCATCTCTCTTTTTCTTTTATATTCTCCTGTTTTTTTTTTTCCTCCCTGTTAACAATCTCCCCCCAGCTGCCACTGGCTGATGAGCACAAGTAATCTCAAAACAACATTTTTGGCTGGTGCTGAAGTCAGCAGTGGCCTCCTGTGCAACCAGGCTGTCTCCTGGTCTTTGCGCTCCGAGTGCTAAGAGTCTGGTTTAATTCTGCTTTGAAGGCAGTGTTTGTACGTGAGAGCCAGGCCTTTTCTGCTGCTCTGGGACTGTGCTCTTCGGGAGAGCTCAGTGCCCTGTCAGAAAGTAGGTCTGCTGGAGTGTGAGCTCTCAGCGTAGCTGTTGAAGTGCTGGAAAAGGACCGAGAGCACCCCTGTGGTTCTTCTTTACTTCCAAACTATGTACAATGAAATGAATTGGACAGAGATTGTGCAGTTAAATTCTAACTGTAGATGACAGATGTGTGTTATTTTCCTTGTCTTCCTCCCTTTTCTTCAGTGCAGGCATCTTGCAGGGCTTTCAGTGTGGCTGGAGGTAAAATCACATCACGGCCATCAACCGAGGTACCCAACCTTTGAGCCGGGCAAGCTCTTCGCTGTCAGTGAAGGCCACGGGGTTAGGTGGCAGTGGCTGCTCTTTAACTCGTCCTTACATATAGTCTGAAGGAACCACGTCAGCCCGTCTGCTTACAGGATGCTGTCACTGCTCTGTCAAACCACATCTCTGACCCTAATTTGAGGCCTTTTGGGGACGGAAGAAATAGTGCAAGCTGGCACAGGTGTATGAAGGATGCACCCTTGTTATTCCAAATAATGTATGTAACTGTTCTTTAAAACAAGGAAAGAAGAAAAAAAAAAATCACCTCAAGGCACACAGTTGGAAAAGACAGTTTTGAAAATTCAGCACTAAAATAACTGCCACTAGAACAGATTCTGTGCTAGCCTGAGCACTGTGTGTCATGCATGTGGGTGCATGTGTCATTTTAATTTGATTCCGTAAATAAATAAATCTGTCTCTCTCCTCCTTTTTTTTGTCTCTTAGATTACATTAACACTTAAAACATCAGCCTTTTGGAGAAATACTTCACAGACCTATGTAGTGTTCAGACTAGCTGATATCTTCTTGTTGTAATCATTTTTCTTTTTCCTTGGGTACTGTTTGCCTACAGGTGACTTTCAGTTATTCTTAAGGTATTTTAATACCTCATCTCTTTCTGCCCTAGCACTGATCTGCTATAAAGCTGTCACAATGCCAGGGATGAGGGGCTTGATAGTCCCCTGTAGGTATGGCTCCTGAGCAAGGATGTGAGGTGAGAAAAATGAGCTTGATCCCTGTTGCACTCACATTGATACAAATGGGTTTAACTACAGCACTGCACATGGAGAGAGATGGCTATAAATGACAACTGAATGAGGTCAGAGGAGTTCACCAGTCAATTCACTGGCATCCAAAATGCAGAGGGCCGACTGTCCATGCAGAGATCACAGATACTGATTTATCCTGACTCAAGGATCACCTCTACTCTGTTGTTAAACTTAAGTGACATCCTTTGAATTTCTAGCCATCTTTTGTGGTTATTACACTTCAATATTTATGTATTTTTAATAGATAAGTAGAAGCCTAGGACCATCTTTAGCAAGTCACAGTTGCATCTTTTAACATTTGAGATGGTGCTTGGCATAGGAAGGACGGACACACGGCTGTGAGATAGGTTTTGTTGGAACATTCCTGTGCAAAACACAAAATTCCTTGATTGCATTTGCTTGATGACTAAAAAATGGATCGGATTACTTGAATGATCCCTTCCTGAGTTCCTAGAACTCATTTTTAATCTGACTTGTGTCTTGAAGCCAAGAATTGCCTTGTGCTGTGAATAGCTCCCTCCTCCAATTTTCTCTCTGTTGAACACCAGTCTTTCAGTGATGCTTTCGGTCAGTTGTCTTTGCCCTTGACTCTGTCGTAGAGATGCGAAGACGGCAGTAGGAAGGCAAAGCTAAGGGGAAGGTAAAACCTTTCTTCATTTTGTGTTGCTTTCCCATGTGTGCCCTGTGCACGTAGGCTTTCCGCAGCCGCAGTGTCAGACTGTCTGCAAGGGCAGCTCTCCCTTGTGCTTCCTCAAACACCACGTTGGTGCCTCCGTGCCGTGGCCCAGCACCCTGTGCACAGGATGGGCTGCACATTCCTGGGCAGGGTTCCTGCTGGCAGGGGCTCTCCTGGCCATGGCCCGGTGCTGTGTTTAGACACAGCAGCCCCAACGTCCCGTTCCCACGGCCACCACGTGCCCTTTCCCTCTACGGCACTCGCCCGGGTTTCAGGAGCTCCTGCTTTCCCAACCGCTGTTCCTGCTCACACAGTCGGTATTGTGGCCCTGTGAAAAGCCTTTTGAGGCAAAACCTGCTGCTTTCTTCTAAAAGTGGCAAAATCTGCCACTCGCTGCTATCAGTTATGGATATCTGAAGAACTGATGTGCATTTTGTTTTCCTTATTCGAGACTGCCGGAAGCAGCCACTGGGACGGGGTGGTCCAGAGGCCTCTCCTGCACTGCAGACCCCACCTCCGTGACCCTTACTCTTGAGCCAGGCTATTTCTGTTCTGCTAATGTCACGTATTGGATGTTGCAACCCATTTGCTGTGATCTGGGGAAGGAAAGCAAAAATCTAATTCCGTGGAAAGCAAAAAGGCTTCCACCAGCTACAGCCCTCGGGTGTTACCTCTGTTTTGGGAATAACAATGCCATAAGACAAATTCAAAGGTTGCTATGCAAATATTTTGAATTGTCTTTATTGTATTGTTTGGAGACAAACTCAGACTGGTACTTTTTCAAATACAACACGGAATGCAGAGCAGAAACACCTTCATATTTATTATGCCTTGGAATGGCAAAATCAAGTAGACCTCCCAAGGAAGAAAATACAGCTGCCTTTTTGCATTGCTCTAAGAAATGAGTGGACAAATGCAAGGAATTCTCTTTCAATGACAAGTGTGGTGTAAGTGACAGTCTGCCTGTGGTTCTGTGCATTAACTGTTGTTTCTCATGGTGTTTGGCAGTCCTAGGTCTAAATGTAGCCTTTTATCTGGGATGAGAATTCCCCGGATGACAAGGCTTGTGTTTCGGAGAGCTGGGTCCATAAACTGCATAACGAGACAAACAGTTACAATTTCATTGAAAACACAGGCCATCCCTTTTCAGTGTGCAGCAGTGTGGATTTTGAAGTATAGTTACTTGGCTTCTCATTCATGCACATGTTTTAAAGGCATAACTTCAGGAGCCTGTGGAAATGCATCTTTTCCTTTCTTTCATTCCTTTTTTTTTCCACTCCTACCTTGTACACGTGCACTTGGGCTTAGTGGTTGAGCCAAATAGCTAGAAATCCTTAGGGGTTTAAAGGATTAAATGAGAACAATTGCTAAGGTGTAGAAAGGGCTGAGAAGCTTTAAAACTATGACAAGCAGTAGGCTCTGAGGGTCCTGTTTCATGAACTGTAGCCTCTGATTCCACGGGTATAAAACCAGCTGCAGGCGGGAGGTGGGTGGTGATTCTGTAACTGCAAAAAAGAAGGGAGATCTAGAGAAGGTGGCAGTGAAAATTTGACGCTGAATACTTCTGCAGTGCTGATAGAGTAATGCACACTTGTGAGTTGAAAATTTAATCTTTCTGCTGCATTATGAGGATAGTTCCAGCTTTTATTTACCATCAGCTAGGCCTTTATTTTCCTTCCATGTCCTTTAAGTAACCTGTTGGCTTGTATTTTCCTGTTTGCCTCAGGTGCTGGAAGATTCGCGACGGAGGTTTTCCCGCCGCCTCCCTAAGCGCGGCCCTTGGCTGCTGGCAGGAGTAGCGGTGGGAAGAGGAGCGCTGCGGCCCGGCCCCTGGGCCCCGCGGAGAAGCTGCTCGCTGGGCCCGGCGCGTTCCCAGCGCGGGCCGCCATGGAGACGCTGTCGCAGGACTCCCTGCTGGAGTGCCAGATCTGCTTCAACTACTACAGCCCGCGGCGGCGGCCCAAGCTGCTCGACTGCAAGCACACGTGCTGCTCCGTGTGCCTGCAGCAGATGAGGACGAGCCAGAAGGACCTGCGGTGCCCCTGGTGCCGCGGCATCACCAAGCTGCCGCCGGGCTACTCGGTGTCGCAGCTGCCCGACGACCCCGAGGTCATCGCCGTCATCGCCATCCCGCACACCTCGGAGCACACGCCCGTCTTCATCAAACTCCCCAGCAACGGGTGCTACATGCTGCCCTTGCCCCTCTCCAAGGAGCGCGCGCTCCTGCCGGGAGACATTGGCTGCCGCCTGCTGCCTGGCAGCCAGCAGAAGTCCCTCACGGTGGTGACAATCCCGGCGGAGCAGCAGCCGCTGCAGGGCGGCGGCGCCGCGGAGGCGGCAGCCGAGGAGCAGGAGCGGCGCGGCGTCGTGAAGAGCTCCACGTGGTCGGGCGTGTGCACCGTCATCCTGGTGGCCTGCGTCCTGGTCTTCCTGCTGGGCATCGTCCTCCACAACATGTCGTGCATTTCCAAGCGCTTCACGGTGATCTCGTGCGGCTGAGCCGGGGCTGCTCGCGGAGAACGCTCGCGGGCTCATCCAGGGGTTGGGTAGGTGGTGGTGGTGGTGGTGGGATCGAGGGAGACAACTGGCGGCGACTTTGAGCAGTTACTGCAGAACTCTTGACACGCGGACGGCTGCTTGTTGGGCCGGTGGCAATGGGAGAAGGTGGGACGGGAGGCCCCTCGGCAACACGTGGAGGAAATCGTGTCGAGCGTCTGATGGTAACAGCGCTGAGGAGGACTGCATGCGTCACCATAATCATTTATCAAAGGGACTGCAATTTACAATGATTTTTGTCGTGTTACGAGATTAAAGACATCTACATAGCTGGTTCTACTGTAAAGTATATGGTGTGAGCTCTTCTCTAAACACAGCAGGTTCGAATCAAAATTGCTCTATGTAGAATTAAGTGAGAGCGTTGGTGTGTGACTCAGTGAAGTGTTCAGTACGCAATCCACACATGCATTATTTTTTAACGGGGGGAGGGAGGCTTGCAAAAACAAGAAATCATTTAGTTGGTAAGGCATTTTATATGTTTTAAATTACACATTAATTAAACTAAGTTAGAAAGTTGTACAATAGTTTTTAAAAGGAAATATTTTACAAGCAATCATTTTGTTCTGTGGTGTTCTTTGCCTTTGTCTCTCTCTGTTTTCTTCCTCTTCTTTTTTTTTTTTCTTTTTCTTTTTTTTTTTCCCCTCCCCTCTAGGAAAGCTGTACTTCCAAATTGTTTTATTTGATGGAGGATCCAGGCAGGGAAGCAAAGTGAGCTAGGAGGAATACCTAAAAATGCAGCCAAAACCTTTCTGCCTAATGAGCTTCACAGGAAGGATTGCCGTTGAGTGGTAAACACTGCATGTGCTGTTTTACCTCTGATCTGTGAGCAGGCCTTCCCAAGGATCTGGCCTTCGTTAGTGAAGATGTTGTTCAGGAGAAGTCCTACAATTCCTTCCTTTTTCCTATGCTTTTTTTCTTTGTTTTATAAAGGTTAGTTTTGTTTTGTTTGAAGAGCTTCAGACCTGTTTTACCTCCCTCTCTTCTAGGAGGTGCAACTGTGTAGCTGTGAATGGTGTAAAAGTGAGGCTTACCTCAAGGAAGTCTCACCATCTGGCCTGAGACTGAGGTCTGTTCCGTGCCATCCTTTAATAACAGGCTGGGAGCAGAGCCCAGGCCAACCTAAGCCTCTCCTTGGTTGTGCTACCCCTCCTAAACCATGGTAGCTCTTCTGGTGTCAGAATGTGTATGTGAGCATAATGGAGCCCTTTCCACATTTCAGTGGTCTTCGGACATATGGACAGGTATGTACATACAGACTAATGTGAGAAAGGACAGCAGAATACTCCTCTGCATGTGGGAATGCCAGTAAGCCCCAGTAATTTGCAGTTCATTGCTTGGAAAGAGCCCAATTCCTGTGTTTTCTCTTCAGTTCAGTAGCACCTTGCACCATAAGCAGCCCCACTAGCTTCAGTACAACAGCTTGTGAAGTGGAGCTCAATGGGAATTTGAGCATTTGGCAACTCTGAAAGCTCAATTTTGTGAGATTTAAGGATCAGATCAAGGGGCACATGACACTGATCTTTAATGAGGCAGAAAAAGCTATTGATTTGCACTGATTCTTTCTGCAAGTACAAAGTGTGAACAGTTGCTTAGGCATGACCTCCCTGAAGAATTGTTCTCTTGTCTGCTGCTAGTGCTCTTTCTAAATTGGAGATCGCTCAATGCCATGTTATAACACCAGGAAACAATTTGGACTGTACAGTGCCCGAGTTAGTCCTGTAGAAGTCAATGATTTTGTGATTATGTCACAAAATCAAATTTTTGGTTCACAGGAAACGTTCTCAACTAGAACTTCGTACTGAGAATATACCTCTTCTTTAGTCGTAGATCTATTGCTTGCCCTCTCCAAAACCACTGTTTTCTTCCGTGATTCTTGTTAATTGAAGAATAGCATATATGGTGCTTAATCATTACGGGGTATATAAAGTCATGTATGGAGAGGAAATTTAAGTACATTATGCTGATTTTTATCTACTGTCATTTGTACGCATAGGACAGCAAAAAAAGACAAAACAACAGTATGAAACAAAGAACAGCAATCCTCGGATAACACATGCCTTTCCTCATGCAAGGCCCATGTACAGGATGCCTTGAACCTGACTTAGAAGTATTGTAATACACTGACACCTCTCAGCAGCGTGCTCAATTGGGCTGCAGTAGGGAACAACAGTAATTCCAGAAATGTATGTTGTGAACTTGCTAATCTCTAATCGCTTGTCACCACTAGGTAGTCAGATTCCTACTGACATCCACGTTAACCTGCTTCTTGTGTAAAGGAAATGAAATAAATCTTGCCTTTTATGAGAGTCTTAAGAAAGTAACCAGATGCAGGATTCAACCCTCTACTGCCTTATTCCCTAGTGGTAACTTATGCTTGTAGCAGGAGTGGAGAGCATAGCTGGAAGATGCTCTGAGAACAACGCTAAAGCATTTTGCACAGGTTTCTACATTGGTTGGCCAGAGTCGTGCACGGCTGCATGGAAACGCAAGGCAGCCAAAGAGCAGGTCCCGGGAATACAATATTAATTCCATTAACCTCCTCCTCCTGGCTGTGCCAGGCCTGCCACAAGCTCTTGAGGGCTCCCCGTGGTGCCGCCTGGAGAGCTGTCCACGTGGAGAGGGCAGTCAGAAAGAGCAATCAGAAATTAGGTTAAAATACCACGCTGCAGAGTACGGTTCGCAACAGGCAGACCTGGAGTTCATCCGGTAATAATGACGTAAGTATTACAGTAGCAGAACACCACCCTGTACTGCATAGCACAGTGCATTGTTTTGTTTGTATGGATTTCCTGTATTTTAGTGCCTGCTGAAATGCATGTTTGACCTAATTTCTGATCCAGACACTTGCCTGCTCACAGCCTTGTGTAAGAGCAATAAGTCAAACCTCAAGATTTTCGTCCGTGTGGGCGCGTGTGTGTACGTTAAATTTATTTTTAATAAGCGTTCTGGAGATGTTTTTGTTTCTGCTTCCGACTGTGGCTCTCATTTTAAATTTGCAACTGCCGTATCATGTTGGATCACCTCGCTTTTTGCTGACTTGTGTAGAAGTGCACTAAGTAGTTCGTTGTAATGTACAGTGTTAAAATGTTTCTCAAGTGTGTTGATTGTCAGACTACTTTAAAAATGCAGTGCTGCAGTCTACCCCATTTCTTGATCTAGTACTTGGCATTAAAAAGTGATACTGCTGTATATGCTTTTTTTAAAATTTTTTTTTTTACCTTTTTTTTTTTTAACCTTTATTTGTGTAGTTTGTGTAGTTTTTCCCCAGGATAAAATCTGAACCTGAAGGAAATCCCGAGTGTACACCACATGTATACTGATATACCGATTATGTATCAAAATTGTCTTGTCCTGGGTTAGTTTTTGTTCCCTGGTGTCTCATAGGCAATCACTACTCAGTTCTACCAAAAAAAGGAAGAAAACTTACTGTGACTCAGTACTGTTTGACCAACCCAAGCTTATGCTAAATAAGAGAAAAAGTTGTGAGAAATTACAATGCATCTGCATTTTTACAACAAATTTACTCTGTATGAATGTATATTTATTTGTTTGTTTAGTGGAAAGGGTGTGTGCGTTGGGGATCCTTTCTTTTTTTCCCCTTATTCTTTTTTCCTTTGTTCGTTTTCATGTTTTGGAAGATTCCAACTTCCATTTTTCTGCTTGTGCTTTCCTGGCAAACAGACTTTAGGATTCACTTTGTGAAATTTTGTTTAGTGAATTTTAAAAATTCAAAAATATGCAATTTTGGTATGCAGGATTTTTTTAGGAAATTGTGTTCAGTGATTGTTCATGCTTAACCAAGATGTAAAGGAGCCTGGATGTTTTGTATACATGGAGCAATCATGAGTCCAAAGTTTCATCTTTATTAATGAAACTCAATCTGAATAAAACATTAGCAGGAAAAGAGTGCTATCCAGTTACTTTGCCATGAAATGAAGAGCGTGGAATGGAATTTGTCAGAACTGCTGTGTATTTTTTGAGGGGATGGCTGAAATTTGCCTCAAATTAGACTCAGTGAGTGTTGACTCAAACTGTATGTTGGGATGTGGTAAATTGGAAGCCTTTTTCATGGTTTAACTGCCTTGGAATACAGAATTATGGCTGATGAGTACTGAAGATTTATTTTATTTTATTTTTACACACATCAGGTAATTTAAAAGTTTTAAGTGAACTTTTTGCTTATGGAAGTGGGAGATTAATGGTCTTGGCTTAAGCATGTGCTGTGTGGCCTGGCACGTTGGCTCCCTTGTGCCTCAAGCTCTTCCCGTCCGTCCATTAGTCATCCAGGAGCCCAGTGCAGGCAAGTTCCCTGGTTTTACAAGCGCTTCTTTGGGATGGAGATGGGTGACCTAGCACAGGGTTTGTTACATTCACCGCAGGGCGGCCAAACAATTCAGACGGGGTCTTTGTTCTGCTCTAGGTGTCCAGGCAGGAAGAGCTCCGGGTACCCAATCTACTGCATGGGCTGCTTCAGGCCTCCCCCTCCTCTGGGTCTTTCCACATAAATGCCAATGAGGGGAGGACATTGCCCCGTGTCAGCATGGAATACCCACAGCCAAAGGGCCCCAGGACGTGGCCTACGCTCATGAGACACTGTGAGCCCTGCTGGAGACTGACGTGTTACGGGAATACATCTCCAGCTGGGTTTAAAATGCTTCCTTATCCCCATTCCACCAAAACCACGGCTTGAAATTTGTTTACTTGTAGAGCTTTTCTAGGAGTAGAAGGGAAGGGAGGGAGAAGGTGCATGGCAGCAAATGTGTCGCATCACCACCCACGAGCTCGCTGAAAGGATCTGCTGGCCCTGAAAATCGCGGTCCTTGTGTGAGAGCCTCGGAAGGGCAGGGTGGTGTTGAGATGCTGCCATGGATTTACAGCTTGCTAGTGACCTTTCCCTTGCAGGACACTGTCTGTAGGCCTGACAGCTGGGGCCGTTCTGTGCT